GATCTCCTTCAGTACTTCTCAAAGCACACTTCATTCAGGGGCACTCCTTAAAGGCTGACTTTTTAGAAATGGACAAATTGAGCTTTTAAAAGGAATACATGGCGAGGTTAAGGGGAACCTGTTTTTGTGACTGGTGAGCAGAGCCCAGACCTGCTCCGTCTCCACTCAGTTCTCTCCCCATACTCCCCTACCATCTTCTTTCTTTTAGCTCAGCACACGAATTTGAATTCTAAAACCAACCGCAGTCCAGAAAAAGGAGCGTCTTGATTCCTTTTGCCATGTTAAAAATTCACGGCCAGAAGTATTGGGAGCCTCAAGCCTTTCTTCCACTCAGGTGCTCTCTGATGTCCTCTAGACCTCAAATCGCACAGAGGAGGAGACCGATTTTGTTGTGGTGGTGGTTGTTAATTTCAAATTTATTTTTATCAAATTTTTTTATTGAGATATAATTGACGTAAAACATTGCATTAATTTCAGCTGCTCAACATAATGATTTGGGCATTTGTATAGATTATGAAATGATCACCATCGTAAGTCTAGGTAACATCCATCACCACACATTGTTACAATTTTTTCCTTATGAGAACTTTTAAGATCTACTCTCTTAGCAACTTTCAAACATACAACACAGTATTCTTAACTATAGTCACCTGTGCTGTATATTACATTCCCAGAACTTATTTATTTTGTAACTGGAAGTCTGTGCCTTTTGACCCTCTCTGCCCATTTCACATACCTCACCCCACCCCACCCCCAGAAGTGATGCCTTATTATTTTTCACTGTGGACCCAGCATGTGGTAAAGCACCTTAGATAGCAGGTCCTTGGTTAAAAAAAAAAAATTCGTTGAATGAATCATAATCCACTACTTCTTACTTCAAAGTCCCTGGTAAGGGGGAAATTAGCAAACTATGCTCTCTCATTTGTTAAACTGAGGCTAGTCTCTCTCTCTCTCTTTTTTTTTTATTTGATTTTTATTTGATTTTATTTATTTGACAGAGAGAGAGAGAGAGAGAGAGAGATCACAGGTAGGCAGGGAGGCAGGCAGAGAGAGAGAGGAGGAAGCAGGCTCCTCACCAAGCAGAGAGCCCGATGCAGGGCTCGAACCCAGGACCCTGAGACCACGACCCGAGCCAAAGGCAGAGGCTTAACCCACTGAGCCACCCAGGCGCCCCGAACCTAGTCTCTCTTTAACAACCAATGCAATAAGCAACCCCACACCTACTAGCTAACCTATTTATACCACACTCCTCTGGGACCTCTTTTTAAAAACTTCCTGTGTTGGGAAGGGGGCAAAAAAATGTTCACGCTGAGACTGACTTCTCTTGTATATCTAAGACATTCTTTACTCTCTGCCAGACCTTTCCCTAAGCCTCTCCCCGAAGGAGATTATCTCTGTAATCCTGTCATACATAATGATTCCCTTTCCCCCATTTTTCTCCAGCTGCCCACCCATTCCTAGTCAAGCACCACCTAACTTTCTAATCCTGTTCAGCGTCTCTCAGGATTTCTTGACACAATTTCAATGATGCCAAGCCCTGAAGCTGGACATCAAAAGAATAAAGCATGAATAGGATCTATTCCGTCATACATTTATTCGGTGTTCTGTGTCCTAGATTTGGGTGCCTGTGTGTGAACTGCTTTGCTTTCAGCCACACAGAGCCCTTGCTGAAAAAGCATAAACCATTTATAAATGTTCTTATCTCCATTTTTTAATTTTATTCAAATAAATAAATAGAATTCATTCTATTGGAATTTTATTCACCTGTTTATTTTATTTCATTTCATTTCATTTCATTTGCATGTGGTTGACACACAATGTTACATCAGTTTCAGGTCTACAACATAGTGATTGACAAGTATTCACTCCCATCTGTCCCATTATATCACTATTACTGTGTCCTTGTCTATATCCCTTAGGCTCTGCCTTTTATTCCCATAACTTGTTCATTCCAAAACTGGAGGCCTGTATCCCACTGCTCTTCACCGTTTTCCCCCAACCCCACACCCCTCTCCCCTCTGGCAGCCATCAGCTTGTTGTCCGTGCAGGGTGACGGAGTTGTGTTCGGGAGCAAGACGAGAGGATAAGAGTATGTGCCAAAGTGGGGAGGATAAAATGAAAAGGAAGAGAGAAGCAAGCGCGAATGGCCGGGTAGCAGACTTGACTCCAGGTGCTACCTCACCCTACATTCTCTAACATTTCTTCTCTGGCACCACTACAGGCTGCAATTTACGCAGATGTAGACAATTACGCCCTTGAAACTTGAAAGGTGGCTTCCAAAGCCATTTATCCCATTGTCTACGCAGATGCCATTGGAGTGAGAATGTAGAAAATTCAAGAGTTTAGAAAATGATCTCCTCCAGCCCTGCCAGAGCCCTCCAAGCTCATAGCAGTTAGAAACCAAAATGAGGCTCTCTGATGGGGTTTGCTGTGTATCCGCAGGCAGCTTTGGCAGAATGGCCACTCAGCGTCCCTGGCTTGTGTATGTTCTTCTCTTCCCGATGTCCTCCTTTTCCAAGAGCAGCCAGAGCCCTTCGGTGAGCGAGCGCCACGCCAGGTGACGGAGAAGGGCGCGCTTCTCCCTCGGTGGCCAAGCGGCCAAAAAGCACCAGCAGCTGCTGTTCTCCTAAATGTGGTTCAGAGGTCCCGGACTCAAGTAGAGGGAACAATAGCGTCCTGAAGGTGTCTTTGGCCCACACCGACACTGGTTCTCTAAGAAGAGCGTGTCTCTGACTTACACGGTCTAACAGTGGAAAGCGAGTCCTGCCCAGGGTTCAGGCAGGCAGCTCCCGGGCTAGAGACAGCTTTAGAAAACTGATACCCCGGGTGCAGATAAGGAGATCAAAGGGGAGCTTTGCAGAGCGTGCCAGACTCAAGTCAGTGACAGAAAAAGCAAACTTTTGACCTTCTGGGTGTTTCTAGTTCACCAAAGAAACTCAATCATACACCAAGGAATTGATTTTTACAAAAGGCTGATTTGAAGCGTGGCTCCCCGGATTCCACACTGAAATTCCTCCCTGGTGCTTGTTTCAGGAAGGCAGAGAAAGAGAAGTGAGAGCTAATCCGGGGCGTGTCCACAGCTGCTGAGTTCATTCCCTGGCTTTTGGGATTTCCCACCCTACTAGGAGGAAGGGTACAAGGAGTTTTCAAGGAGTAGGTGGCAAGTGTTTTCCCTAATTCAGGGTTCAAACATGGAGTCTGTAGGTTCCAGGAAAATGAACAGAGAAGTTCTGATGTGTATCCACTTATAGCTTCGTTGTTTACTTTGTTATTGTAAAAGGTCCATAGCTTTCCTTGGATTCCCAGACAGGTCTGTAGACCGAACTAGGTTAAGTACTGTTACCGTGTGTCCTACATTATTTCACATTCCCCTGGCACTGGGGGGCAGAGAGCCAGAACATCGGGGTCCAAAATTGGGTGATGAACCCCCCCCCACCATTGTTGCCAAATTCCCTGAATAAGGACACTATATCTACCACATTGGCTCCTCCTGAATGACATTATATCAACCTCTTCTCCTACAGTAAGTGAAATAAGACATCACTCTGCCCTCCACAATCCCCTTCCGGCCTCATTTATTCCTTTCATGACCCTCACTATATTTCATGACAACCTTCTCTCTGCCTCTTGCCCTCATCCCAGTAGCTACAGGCCTGCTTCAGCCATCCTTTTGCCCCGGACTGACTCCTTACCTTATCTGCTCATTCTCTGCAAAAGAGCCTTGACTAAAATTATCACCTGAGTACATCCTGTTCTTGTCTCCATTCTTAACAATACCTAAAGGGATTATTATAATCCTGGACTATATAAAGGCATAAAAAGGATTGAGATCGCTGAGCTTAGCTAAACGTCGACCGCTAAGTAACAAACCACAAACACCATCCATCTCTATGATGCGGGGGCGGGGTTTCGAGGTCCTCAGAATTGTGGAAATCCTCGGGCAGGCAGACTTGACAAAGCGACACGTGCGCATGGCCTCAACTCCTTCTGTTGCCATTTCTGATCTTGACACTTTTCATAGTCCACTCTTCGCCCGCCCCTAACTACTCAGTTCCTTATATCAGTATTAATAGGATCCCTGTAACAAATGATCGGTCATTTTTTTTCTCATTCGACGACTTGTCCAAGTTCAGACTTTACATAGAGAATCCTCTTCCAGCATAACATGGCACCGGTAGTACCATCTTTCCTATTTTGTTAATGCTCTAGGGGGCCCCAGGAGAAATGCTACACCATGACCACGGGTGGAGACCGGGATGGTCCAGGCAAACCCCGACGTGGTGTGGGGACCGCGTCCAGGTTTGCCTGGACCATCCTGGTCCCCACACCCTGCACAGAACCGTGCGGTGCTCCATGATTCCTTCTCTTCCATCAAACACAACGTGCATCACCTGCTTCCTATTGGATCTCTCGCTCCCAGCTGAGACGGAAATGGCAGAAGATGCTCTGGAGCAAGAAGATAACAAATTCCAAGCTAAGAACTCCCTGAAGAAAGAAATGGCGTTTCCGGGAGTCCTGAGCCAGGCTTCTCCCCGGGTGGCGTTGTCACGTGGTCCTTCACTGGTCCACCAGCTGCAGTCTTGCTCCTCAACCATCTCACGTTCCTTGACATGCCCACTAGGTCTTGTTATATTTAACTCCCTGATTTTGCTCCACACGTTGCATATAAATTTAAAACATCGTTCAGGAATCATGTAATCAAAAAGACAGCTACTGAGGGGCGCGGTGGGGGGCGCTCAGTCGGTTAAGTGTCTCCCTTCGCCTGGTGTCATGATCTCAGGGTCCTGGGAGGGAGCCTCGCATTCCACTCCCTGCTCCGCGGGGAGCCTGCTTCTCCCCCTTCTGCTGCCCCTTCCCCTGCTCAGGCACCTATGCGCAGTCTCTCTCTCTCTCTTTCTCAAATAGATTAAAAAGAGAACTACCGAATCTATACCAGGATTGCCGGGAGCTAGGGGTGCCAGAAAAACTAGCCCCATGCCCATTCTTTCTTCTGTCCACAGATTCGAAACCTGGCAGCAAATCTCTGTGTAGACAGTAAGCATGGGGCCACCGGCACTGAACTGAGGCTGGACATCTGCGTCAAGGATGGTTCTGAAAGGACGTGGTCTCACGAACAGGTAGGTCAGCAACCAGAAATGACAGGAGCCAGCGGGGCTGAGGCAGGCAGGGAGGCAGACAGTGAAGACAGATTTCTAACCCAGGCATACAGGACCCAAGGCGGGGGGTGGGGGGGGCGGGGGGGGGGGGGGGTGGGGGGGGTGGGTGTCCTTGTTCCCACAGACCAGCTCTGTTGTTCAGCCAATTACTTACCTCCTTGGTTTCTGCTTCATCTCAGAGCAACTGTGATAATCAGCTGAGATCGTGTACAGAAATGTGCTTTAAATAGGAGAAAGGATGGTAGAAACGTCCCAGGCTTATATTTTCTTTCCCGGAATGGTAGTCTTCAAACCACAAAAAGCCTGTAGAGTGCCACGTGATCTTCCAACTAAATTTCACAGTTTTATTGAAAGACTCTTTTTATTTTGTAAGTTTTTTGCGACTTTATCTAATCTTATTTTCCCCTTTGGCGATATTTTGAAAAGGAATCTTTACATAAGCATCTTGTTGCTGTAGCAGTCTGTAATCCTACACATGAAGGATCACTTTGAGGCAGTAACAGCACAACCTGGACTTCCTGGAATCCTTTAGAACTATTTGTTGCCTTTGATTGAAAAGTGTTTCAGTGCAATTCTGTTTATGAAGTGACTTGTGACTCCTGACCCCCTGATGGTCCTTATAAGGGACTTGCCTCACACCGTGTCACTTGCAAAAGAGACGTGATAGTGGGTAGAATGGTGTCTATCCCTTTTTATTGTCTTAATTTTTGATAATGAAAAATCAAATGGGGGGACATCTGGGTGGATCAGTCAGGTAAGCATCTGCCTTCAGCTCAGGCCATGATCTCAAGGTCCTGGGATCGAGGCTCATATCAGGTTCCTTGCTCTGCAGGGAGTCTGCTTCTCCCTCCGCCTCTGCCGCTCCCCTTGCTTGTGTGCTTTCTCTGAGAAATAAATAAATAAAGTCTTTTAAGAAATCAAATAGGAAACTATAAAAGAAATTATAGCACACCCTTGCACACTCATTACACTGACTTAATAAGTATCTGCAGCTAGTGCCATATTTTTCAAGAGAATGAAATTTACAGATACAGTTAAAGCCCCTTCCCTATGCTACTCCTCTGTCTCCCTCTACAAAAGGCCACATCTCACGTTCAGCATAGTATAAACTGCCTGTGCTTTGTTTCCCAGAATTGCCCATAATGCCTCTCTTACGAAACCTGAAAACAGTAAACAAGCAGTTTCCACAAAGGCTTGAGTTCTGTCCTATAGCTCTATTCCTCCATATCCATCTTATATATGGAACTAGTGAAGACAAATCGTGCCCAGCCTAGGATCTTACCGAGCTGCTCAGATAGGCTGAGCTCCGTCATGCTGGCTCCTCCCTGTCCTCCCCCTACTGTCCTGTCCTACCCCGCACGCAGCTGACACTACAGCGCAGAGCAGCATAGTCCGGGAAAGCGGGGGTGAACCCGGCACACAGCACAGTCCGGAATTAACACCGTCAGTCCGTGAACCCACACTGCCCCGCCCCGATGGGTCATCTGGCCCTTCCACTCTGATCCACAGCCTCATGGTGTTCCAGAAAGATCGTGGGCCTTGCAGTGAGGCCAACCTAGATTTCAGCCACCGTAATCTGTGTGACCTTGTGAAATTGTTACATCTCTCTAAGCTCGAGTTTCTCCACCTCTAAATAGGGATAATAATATTCACATCAGAATAAATCGTGTCTACATACACCAGCATGTAGCACGTGTGGTAGGGGCAAAATCAATGTACTTTCCCTTCTGCTTTATGACATTTTCTCCCCCGGATCACTTTATACTAACACCAAATTAGAAATCTCTCTCAGGTCCAAGGCAGCTGCCAAAACCAAATACTATTTATTATTCACTCAAATATATCCTGCAGTACGCAGACGCTTATCAGATTGGTTTTAAGGAAGGCTCTGCGGGAGTGCCTGGGTGGCTCAGTTGGTTAAACGTCTGCCTTCGGCTCAGGTCATGATCCCGGGGTCCTAGGATTGAGTCCCACACTCCCTCTGCTGCTCTCCTGCTCTCTGTCAAATAAATAAATAAAATCTTAAAAAAATAAAAATAGTCTCTCATGGTTCACCTCCCCCTCCGATTTCCCCCAATTCACTTTTCCTTTCCTTCTCCTAATGTCTTCCATGTTATTCCTTATGCTCCGCAAGTAGGTGAAACCGTATGACAATGAGGGTACGAATTGCATGGAGCCCTGGGAGCTGTACATAAAAAATGAATCTTGGAACATTGCATCAAAAACTGATGATGTATTTTACGGTGACTAACATAACACATTAAAAAATCAGTAAATAAATAAAAATAAAAATAAAAAAGACTCTGCAGCTCCAGGATTTGTGAATGGCAATGAAATATCAGCAAAAGCCGACTTGCCCCTCCTTCCCCCATCTTCTTCAGTAAACACCACAGGGCTCTTACCAGGAATGTGAGGAAGAGTCTGGGCCTGTCACCTCCAAGAAGCAATTCGGACTTCAGCCTGGGAGCAAGAGAAAAGGCTTCAGAGGCCTATCAAGAGGACCCACATTTAGAGTAGAAAGGATACTTTTTTAAAGAAAAAATAAAAAGAAGCATGCCAGATGGAAAATCTATGTCTGTTGGGCTAAATTCCTCTCAGTTTACCGCCCCTGTGTAGCCCAACCAGGTAGCCAGCCAGCTGATGAGAAGTATTCCTTGCCTGAATGCCTGAATCAGGTTTCATAGTTCTGTCTTCTGGAATGTTCTAGAATTAAATATGCTCTGGGCCACAGATTTTATGTGACAGCCGAAAAATGAATATGAATAAAACCGACTATATTGCATACACTTTAAAAATCGTTGGTATATTTTCCCCCTTTCATGCTGAACTGTTAAAATCTACATCATGTAATTCAAGAAATGGTCACCAGAGGGCAGCACCAGACAAGCAGAAACTATGAGGCACAAAAAGACCAGTTAACACAGCTCTTTAAAAAGATCCCTGGTCTCTAGAGGTTCTGAAAACAGAGCTATGGGGAGATTAAACAAAGTTGACAGGAGGTAAAAAATGAATCATCTTTGAAATACGTATCACCATATATTCACTTGGTGATTAAAACATTACAAGCTGCTTTTTCCCCCCAATAATTAGCTATAAGCTTTATTCACTGTATTACTCAATGACTTACATGAATTAAGACTCATTCTCCTCCGTTTTGATTAAAATGCCTGAGTGAAAAAAGAAGTATGTCAGAGAAGGAAAATTATAGGTATTCTGTTTTATTCAAAAGCATTTAAAGAATCCACAAGGGGCACTTATTAGAGTTGAAATGATCCTTTTTAACAAATGGCAAAAATAAAACACAAAAGAATAAACAAAATAGTTACATGGGAGATAAAGGATCATCTACAGAGGCACCTTTACAAGAAAATGCCTCTTGTTGCGGAACACCAGTGGTGTCTAATTTGGCTTCTGTGAAGGAAGCAATTTGTGTGATTCCTTTTTTCCAGAGCCTTCTATTTAGCTGTTTGAGATCACTGTAGCATTGTGTGCTGGCTTTCAGCTTCCTTTAGGGACCGAGAAAGAAAAAGCAAAGAGAACTTTATAAGACTGTAAGGTCTGGAAAGGATACCCTCCAAATGCCATTAGGAGTCCAAGTGAGAGGGCAAGGGAGGAAGGAGAGCCTTCAGTGGCCTACAGTTCGGGTCAGGCAGCGGGCTCTGGTCTCTTTCTGGGGCGGTAGTACTGTGGCCGCGCAGACCTTCCTGCAGCTGAGGAAGCCGACCAAATGCTCCCTTCGCAAGACCCGGAGAGGCATGTGCGCACAGAGATGGGAGCAAGTCGGTGCACGTGGTAAAAGACGGGTGCTCGGATCCGCAGCCTCACTCGCAGAACAGAGCTGGGTACCAACTGCAACATGCACTTGCTCAGATTTCTGCCAACCACATAACAAGGAAATAAAATAGAACCACCCACAGAGAGGAAAATATTCTCGGTCTTCTCAAATCAAGTAGCAAAATCAAGGTGCTAAGTGTATTTGCAGTACTAAGTCTAGCTGAGCTCACTTACACGATACGGTATAAAGCCAGGCAACATTACCCACACCACGCTGACAGTAAACTGAAGAAGTACAAGTTCTGTATCACTCTGGATCTATATTTAAAAGTATCACTTAAAAGCAGCAAGTGGAGAGATTAACATCAATTTACTCTGAAACTGAGGATTTGAGGTTGAAAAAAAGCAAGTTTTTGTACAGGAAACCTGAATGAAATCTAATCCTTCCATCAGTAAGAACTAGCCCAAGAGTAAGAGACAAACTATAAATGTCACAATAGCATCATAAAATACAGACGATGAAAATACATTCATAATGTCTGCTTGTGTCTGGTTCTACAAAATTGCTCGGGAGAAAGGGTGCCTAATGAATGAAAGGCTTGGTGCCTGATTGGATTGACATGGCCATCAGGATGAGATAAATGGCAATAGAAAGCACTTCAGAGATGTAAGAGAGACAAATTTTAGCTAAAGGTAAGTGCAGAAGAATAGAGCAGTTGCTATAATCTGGAAACATCTCTTGGGGTGCAGGAAAGTCATCACCACATAATCAGGATGATATGGTGGTGATGATGATGATGATAAAGTATGAAACCCTACGGAGACCTCCAGCTAACAACCAACCCACAAATCTGAAAATGATTATCGCACTCTAACGACAAACCTAGCAATGAGAAATAAAAGTCACCTAAGGACCCCTGGGGTATAATTGGGACAATAGGTGAATAAGTCCATCAAGAGAAGAATTTGTTGATGTTTGCTTTAACACAGGAATTCTTTTATACTTCACTCATCCCTTTAATTAAAAAGTTAGAAAAGTAAAAATTAAGAAAACAAAAAGTAAAAAAAAAAAAAAAAAAAAGGACTGTCTATAAAAGAAGACATAAGCTGGGGTGCCTGAGCGGCTTAGTCAGTTAGGCATTCAACTCCGTTCCGGCTCAGGTACTGGTCTCAAGGGTGGTGGGATCAAGCCCTGCATCAGGGTCCCCGCTCAGCAGGGCAGACTGCTTGAAGATTCTCTCCTCTGTCCCCCCACCGACCGCTCACTCATTCTCTCCCTCCAATAAATACATAAATATTTTAAAAAGAAAGAAAGAAGGAAGGAAGGAAGGAAGGAAGGAAGGATGGATACTTAAGCCAGGGGGCCTGGGTGGCTCAGCCGGTTGAGCGTGGTACTCGATTTCAGCTCAGGTCAGGATCTCAGTGTTATAAGATAGAGCCCTATATGAGATTCTCTCCCTCTCTCTCTCCCCCTCTTCCCCTTCCTCTGCACCTGGCCCCTGGACTGAATCTCAAAGAACTGGTAAGCATGAACTAGGTGGACTGAATGTTGGCCTCCCGACCACAGAAAGTCTCATGAACAAAGTCACAGAAGGGAAAATATAGCCTGATTAGTGCAAGGAACCACAAATGTTTTTGAATTGAGATATCATCGCATACGACATTATATTAGCTTCAGTCATACAACATAATGATTCGGTATTTGTACATATTGCAAAGTGATCACTAGAGCAAATCTAGCTAAGATGCATCACCATCCATAGTCACAGGATTTGTTTTCCTGGTGATGAGAACGGTTAAGATCCAGTCTCTTAGCAACTTCCAAATGTTTCGTTGTTGCTGGAACATACACTAAGGGAAAAGGGATGCAGCTGGGGGAAAATGGCAAAGGCCAGATTGTGGGAAATGCTTTATAAGTTAATGATGTAGGAAAGACAGGTCAAAGCCGACAACCAAGAAAGAATTCTTGAGACATCTTTGGTGCAAAAAGTGGTTTTATTAAAGCACGGGGACAGGACCCGTGGGCAGAAAGACCTGCACTGGGGTCATGAGGAATGGCTGATTATATACTTTCAAGTCGGGAGGGGGTTAGGAATAGCAGAAGTCTCTAAGAAATTTGGAAGCAAGGTTTCCAGGACCTTGAGCGGGCTAGCTATTGTTGGGGAAAGGTCATTTATTACCGTCTTATAAACCGTTAGTCATGAGACCCTTCAGATGTATATCCGTGGGCTATATGCTTGGGGATGATTGCCAACACATATCTTGGAGGGTTTAGAGATAAATGAAGTTTCCAAAGGAATTTTTATATGTTAAAGTAGACTTACAGGATCCAGAATCAGGGTTGGGGGTTGAGGGTGCAGGGGTCGGGCTAGGTTTCCTTTTGCCCTTAGCAAGCAGTCAGCATGGAGGCAGCTGAGTCCCTAGAGGAATGTCACTCTGCCTGTTTCAAGGACTTGTCAGTAGTAAGCTGTAGGTAGTAAGGACACTTAAAAATTTCTCTTCCACCTCTGTTTCCCACATCATTAAAGAGTTTTTATTGTGTTCTTTGAGCATTATATGAAAACACGCTGAGATTTCAGGCCAAGAGGTAATATAGTCAAAAGGTTGAGAAGGAAGGCAGGAAAGACACCAATCAGGGAGTCATTTCAGTAGTCCAGACAAGAAATATTGCGAGCAGGGGCACCTGGGTGGCTCAGTGGGTTAAAGCCTCTGCCTTCGGCTCAGGTCATGATCCCAGGGTCCTGGGATCGAGCCCCGCATCAGGTTCTCTGCTAAGCAGGGAGCCTGCTTCCCTTCCTCTCTCTCTGCCTGCCTCTCTGTGTACTTGTGATCTCTGTCAAATGAATAAATAAAATCTTTAAAATAATAAAAAAAGAGAAATATTGAGAGTAAAGGTAGTGGAAATAGAGCAGAAGGGATGACTTCCAGCAATATTTGGAGACAAAAACGTTAAGACTTGCTAAGTGATCAAATAATGAGGGTGAGGGAAACAAAGGGGTTAAAAGAGGAAAGACTCCCAGGTTGGCAAGTGAATACTATGACCACCAACTAAAGCAAAATAAAGGAGTAGGAACAGGCTTAGAAGGAAAGAAAACTAATTGAATTTAGGATATTTTGAATTTGAGATGTCCATGGGGCATGCAGGTGGACAATTCTACACGGAGTTGGACACATCACAGATGATAAGTTATCAAAGTACTCGTGAGAGCTGGACTGAGCATACACAAAAGCAACCAGAAGGCGTAGAGGACAAGGTCCAAGGGAGAATCCTGAGCGGCACCTGCGTCAAAGACAGATACAAAAGGGACATGAGCAAAACAGAGGAACAGGATAAAAGGAACCCAGTATTTCAGAAACCAAGGGACAAGTCAGTTCTGATTTGAAGAGAGTGTTGAAATCAGAAATACCTAGCTGATCGACATTTTTTCTTGTTAAGCTATTGTCCTGCATGGGATTTAAATTCAAATGAATCTAAAAAACGGCTCAGTCCACCATGAAATGGGGGGAGGAGGAACCGTAGGAAAAAGGACTACACAGTATCTCTTCATGAATCTATTTCACATGCCTCACCTAAAACCCTTGTCCCAGGGGCGCCTAGGAGGCTCAGTGGGTTAAAGCCTCTGCCTTCGGCTCAGGTCATGATCTCAGGGTCCTGGGATCAAGCCCTGCATCGGGTCCTATGCTCAGCAGGGAGCCTGCTTCCCTTCTTCTGTCTCTGCCTGCCTCTCTGCCTATTTGTGATCTCTGTCTGTCAAATAAATAAAATATTTTTAATAAATAAATAAATAAATAAATAAATAAATAAAACCCTTGTCCTTCTCGTTAAAGCATTCTCTTTTGTCCTGTCTTCCAGGGAAATAGAGTACAGTCACTCACCATTATGCAGGCAATCCACTTTCCTATGTCTGATTTACAGCATGTCTTTGGGATTTTCTTCCCACCCCTTAGCCCAGTGTTTTCAAGTTTTCTGCAGTCTGCTCTCCCCACGTCACTGTATTTGGTAGCCATTCCTGGTATTTTGCTGGAGTCTTTACATTTTCTTACCCAGGTAGGAGGGAAAAACTGAAATATTCAGAGGACCTGGTGGGGGCCAAGTGCATTGTCTACGTACAGCTCATCATCTCGTTGGCTCTTCTGTCAACAGGACGGCTCTTTATCTGGCAGCTCACAGCTTGGCTTCACAAAGGCCACCTTAAGTCCATCCTATTGTAAGAATTACATAATCTCATTGAAATTTTAGAACTGGAAGAAAGCAGAGGGCTCATCTTCTCTGTTTCCCATTTCCTTGAAGATTTCTCCTACCAAACTCCTCAGATGGTGGGCCAGCTCAAACTCAAGAAAATACCCTTCCCTTATAGAAGAGGTCCCCCCCCCCTTAATTCAATATATTCTAAAATCCACTCAGTGTCTCCAAAGTAGCATTTTTCAAATAATCAAATGGTAGGGTAGAATGGACCAAAAGAGGAAAAGATTGGATGGAATAACAGAGTCCATTAAATGCAGTAAGTTTAAATATCCTTTCCTGAAGCTTCTGTTTCCCTCTGGGGAGGAGGAATTTGTGTATGTGTGTAGACTGCATCTCTTCCTGTGTGTTTACTGTCCAAAACTTTTTACATTGCCCTGCTGAATCACTCATACCAACCCCAGAAAATTAATGTGCCTCTTCTTGACTTCATTAAGCTTGGCTTCCATTTAAATCAAATTTTTCAAACTGCTAGCCTCCATCCAGCTCAATTCGGCTCTGGTCTTCTTACAGTTAATCTCCTTATTTGAGCTAACTGCATAGCATTTGATCCAATAACATTTTATCCAAATGAAGAATTTATAAAGAGCTTCATTAAAGAGCTTGTTTTCCTCCTTCCCCTTCCCCTCGTCTTCCCCCTTGCCACTCTCCTCCGCCCCTTTTTTTCCATGCCATCCCTCTGTTATTTCTCCTGGTACCAAATTGGAAACTCCTCACTTGTATTTTTTGGCAGCCCAGACCAAAGGTGACACTGTTGCTTCTACAAGGCTCGGTGATAGGTGCCCTTTTTCAACACCTCCATTACGCCTAGATGGAGTTCTTTTCTGGTAAATCACGAAGCACGAATTCCACATTGCTAAAAAGACCTCTCCCCCACCTGCTCTCCAGACTCTCCAAATTAAGCTCACTGTAGCTTTTCTGCTATTGTTGTTTTCGCTAGCTCTTTACTTTTGGATGGAGAGAAGACATTCGACCTGGTGAGCCATTGCACACCCGGAAATTCTGCTTCGATGCAATCTCGCACAACAGCGCAGTCACTCTCTATGACTGTCATGGCATGAAGGGGAACCAGCTCTGGGGATACAGAAAGGTAAGACTTGGCTCACTGCAGCCCTTCTCGAACTGCTGGGCTTAAGGTTTTCTAACTCAAAAGTTTGTTAGCACACTGTTTTGATTTCAGCTCTTACCTAGACACAAGTACACACACTTGACTCAGATATTTGCAGACCACCAGCAAAGATTAAGGGAAAGACAGGGTGTGCTGGAAGGGGCATTTCTCTTGGTTTTGCTTGCTGTGCGCACACCCATCACAATCACTTATGACTGAAAAATGGCTTTGAAGGTGCCTGGGTGGCTCAGTTGGTTAAGGTCTGCCTTGGGCTCAGGTCATGATCTCGGGGTCCTGGGATCAAGTTCCGCATCATGCTCCCTCCTCGGCGGGGAGTCTGCTTCTCCGTCTTCTTCCACCTCTCCCTTCTGCTTGTGCTTTCTCTCTCTCTCTCTCTTTTCTCAAATAAATAAATAAAATCTTTAGGAAGGAAGGAGGGAAGGAAGGAGGGAAGGAAGGAAGGAAGGAAGGAGGGAAGGAAGGAAGGGAGGGAGATGGCTTTTAGAACAGGCACTGTTTTGTGTGAAGGAACTAGTCTTAGCCAGACAACTACCAAATGGAGAGACCATGTACCCAATAAGCAAAAGTACACATGTGTAGTTTTTAAGAACCTCAAGTCATACACACACACACATGCACACACTTAAGACATCCATTTATTTATAACTGTCTCATTTGCTTGGGAGCTGTGTGTGTTAAGACAACTAGATTTACATAAATCCGCACTCATGTAGGAGTAATTGTTGTGACCTTTCTACAAACTGACCCATTTGTAAGTTGGCCAAAACCCTGCCCAAGGATAACTAAGGAGAACTTATTTGGAGAATTTAAGTTTAAAAACTTATAAAGTTAACATTAAATGGTAGAAAAAAATAGTTCAAAATCAAATATATAAATCATATTTTATTGAGTTGATAAAGAGCAATTAAATTTTTATTTTAAAATGTCTTTGTCAAGTTGTCTTTTGATAACTTTTCAGGATACCACACAAATTTCTTTCCAGCTTTTTTTTGTTTTTAGGTCAGGACTTTCTGAACTATACAGAAAATGTCATACCCACACTTTAATCATAAGCTTTGGCTCTCCTGTGACTGGTAAAACTTAGTAACTCCTTTTTTTTTTTTTTCTAAGATTTTATTTATTTATTTGAGAGAGAGAGAGAGAGTGCATGAGAGGGGGTAGGGTCAGAGGGAGAAGCAGACTCGCCACTGAACAGGGAGCCCAATACGGGACTCCATCCTAGGATTCCAGGATCATGACCTGAGACGAAGGCAGTCGCTTAATGAAATGAACCACCCAGGCACCCCAAAACATAGCATCTCCTGACTAAAGAAAGCTAAAGGGAAGAATCTACAGAGAATCAATATGGGGGACCACTGGTTTTCATACTTGTTCTCCCACTTAATAAGCTTTCTGGTATTCGCTTTTCAGGGTTGGGTACCTAAAACTATGCTCAAAGGCAGACTCTGCATACCACCACCCCCCCACAGCCTCTGAGATTGTGGCTCTGTGTCTAGAAAAAGTATAAAACACCAGTTGTATCCCCCTGTTTTCCTTACGAACTGCATCATAAATGATTAATCTTGCCAAACCCTTTTTATTATTCAATATGCTGCAATCTATGTGAGATACACCAAGAAAGTTGTTTTGTTTTTATGGTTATGTTCTGACCCTTAACAAGTTCCTTTCTGGGCACATCAATAAAATATCTGATTCACTATTTGCCTAGCATGCTGGTTGTCCCTGATGAACACACCATTTCTCATTATTGCACGTTTATAGCATGAGAGACAGAACACTCAATAATGTACAATTAAGCCAAGAAAATACAGTTGTTTTCATTAGGGAGCTTACAAAAGCTTACAGATGGATAAAACCAACTAACACACATGCACACAGAGCTCCTGGAGAAGAAAAAGGTGACTGTGGTAATTTCAAGAGGTAACTCTTACAGCTTTAGCATTTTAAACCTTCCCAGCACCCTAAGGGACTTGTGAAAGAGACCCACTGGATTCAGGTCTGCTGTGGCTCCTTTCTCAGACGATTCTGTCACGGTTGGCCTTGCATTACTTAGCAAAAGGTTACATTCAGTATGTATTTATATAAGAAGCGAGGGCTCAAAATGGAAAGTTTCTGAAATATCTCATTCTGGTTGATGACTCAGGCTTATTCAAATGCACCTGTTTCTTGAAAGTGCTTCTTGTTTATTCCGTGGGCTATTCCCAAGGCATAAAGACAGAAAGCACAGAGACGTCTCTCTGGGGTGTTACCTTGTCTATTTAGATGCACTACTTGGCCCTGGGGACTTCAGAGAGTTCAGCATCTTTTGAGTCAGCTTTGGAGCTCCCTCTTTTTATTAGCATATTCATGAATAAACAGGATCCCTAAGACTCTCCTAATTGCCTAAAGGACCGCAGTGGGCCATCTCCTAAGCTCCTACGGTAATCATCATCATCTCCAACTGTTAAAGGAGGCACTGAGCTAGGGCTTTACACATATTGCCTCACGCCTCACAACCGTAGGTATAATTCACAGAGGAAGACCCATACGAGCATGTTTGCACTAGAGTCAACATTCAGATTCAGGTGCATCTGGCTTTAAAGACTCTACTCTTTCCTCTGTGATGCTCTTAAGAAATCAGATCAGTATTCCCTGGGAAAGTTCCCCGATGCCTTTAGGATTCAGCACCACTGATAGCAACCAACCCCTCCTCCCAGCTACAGGGCAATTTCTTAAGAGAGGGAAAGTGGCCAGAGCTGCTTTGCTTGAGTGGGTGAAGGTTGTTAGAATCCATTGGCAGCTCTTGGCTCTCAGATGTACTTTTCTTTTTTCCAGGAAGATTTTTGGGTCATTTCCCAGCTTTACTGAAATATAATTAACATATGTAACATTGTGTACATTTAAGGTGTACAATGTAATAATTTCACACATATATATGTTGCAAAGTGACTACAACTATCAGTTTGGTTAATACATCCACCACCTCACATAGTTACAATTTTGTGTGTGATTAAAACTTTTAAGATCTACTCTCTCAGCAAATTTCAAATATACAATATATTATTAACTATGATTACCATGCTATGCTATACATTCCCAGAACTTACTCCTCTTATAAATGGAAATTGTACCTTTTGACCACCTATACCCATTGCTCCCAACCCCATCACCCAGCTTTCAATTATTCTTACATGTGAGTCATTGCCACCACAAAAAGGGGGGGGTCCCTATTTCATAGCCTTGTAATTAGGTTCAGTAATACAATTGTGTCCCAGGGTACTAAGTTCCAAGTACCAAGTACCAAGGATAAAGAATCCCATTGCTGGTTTCCTTTTACCACTAGGGGGACTCCTCTTACAAAAACAATGACCTGAGGGTGACCGTGAAAATATTTAAATTATCAACTAATACAAAACAAACAAGTTTTTTCTCTCTTCTTCTACCCTTACATCTAATTAGTCACTAAGACTTGTCAACATCCCCTACCCCAGCCCATATCTCGGAAATCTATCCTCTCTGCCGTGTCCACAGCCTGGACCCTACTGGCTACCTTTCCTGTCTTCCCCCTGGATGACTCTCAGCGCGATCTCAAGGGTCATCCTGCCTCCTGTCCCATCCCTCACTAACCCATCTTCCATCCTGAAGTTAGAGGGATTTGCCACAAAATCTGGTCATTGCATTCCTTTGTTTTATAACTTCACCTGGTTTCCCACTAAGTAGCAGATAAGTGCCTTCTCTCAATTCTTATCCTAGACCCTTCACAATCCAGTCATCATAATGATTTCCTAGCAAGCCTAATACATCCTAATTCATCCTGAAACTGTAATATGATCTTGAATAAATTATTTCACATGTATGATTTTCAACTTCCTTATCAACATAAGCAGGATAACAATTAAGTGAGCTAAACCATGTAAAAATACACCATTTCTGACCACATGACCAAATCTATATTCATGGGGGTGACAAATGCAATTTTTACACAGAAAATAGAGGTCAGGTGCATCCTGCTAGACCACACAACTCCAGCAACCTATCCTAAGCAATATTAACCATTGTTACCCACCCCTCCCCGCCCAAAATTAAGAACTATCTCCCATGCCCCTTTCCTTTGAAGTAAGTTTTATTGGAGTATAATATATATCTTGGTTTGGGTTTCTTTAGATGTATACATGGAGTGAGAATTTGAGGGGTTTTATGTGGGAGATGGCCCACCAAAATCTTGGTAGGATGTGGGTAAGTGAAAGAGGAAGGGATGGAAGTCAATAAAGGGTGAATTATAAAGCAAGTACTACTGTGGGCAATTAAAACTCAATCCCACTACAGATGTCAGGAAATGGTATAGAGCATGTATCAGAGAGCAAGGGAATTGGGATATCTATAGACCACTCTAGTCCACCTGTGGTTAAGATTACTCCTAAGGGGTTTATTCTCTGACATTTCTGGGCTGTGGCTGGTAGACAAAACTGTTCTTGGGACCAGAGAAAGCCCTTACGGAGTGAGACACAGTGGCCAATGACTGGGGTTGGGCCAGCATGCACTGAATTGGTGAGGCTTGAAGAGCGATGGGCAGGGTACAGCTGCGACATGAGAATCCACTCGCCCCACATTTTTGTTAACTCTTGGCATTCTGTTTCCTTTTCTTTTCCTCTTTTCATTTTGTGGCTGTAGAGTGACAGCACATGCTTGCTAGCTGTTTTGGATATCTTCTTTGGGAAGGACCTAGTAAGTCTTTTGACCATTTTTTAACATGTGTTGTCTAGTTTTTCCTTACAGATTTTTGGATAGATAGATACATACATACATACATATATACATACAAGTGCTTTGTTGGACATACATATTGTAAGTATCTTATTCTAGTTGACATCTTTCCTTTTTTCTCTACAGAATATCTTGAGGAAGAGCTATTCTTTATGATTAGTGTCTTTTATGTTCTGTTTAGGAGATCTTTGCTCCATACCAAAGTCATGAAGATAGTC